CCCTGCCATTCTCACAGCCCTCCCGCTGCTTGTTGCTTCTGCTGCTCCCATGGCTGTTCATTCTCTCTCCAGACTGATCTTCTCTTTTCTATTACAATTCTCTACAACCGCAGAAAAGTCTCTGCAGGTTCAGTCAAGACAAGACCTGCCTCAAATCCAGTATAATTTACCAAACGAATTGGTATCCCTGTAAACAGCGATCTATGGTCAATCATCTACCTGGACTTCTTTCACCATAGCTTTACAGAAACCAGGCTGCTATGGCAAAAGCAGGACTGTCCTCAGCTGTATAAATAGCTGGTTTAAAGAGAAGAAAGGCTGTTCAACAGTCCGTTTCCCAATGAAAGGAAGAAGTCCCAGACGCCTCTGTCGGAGCTTGTACTCTTCAATATTCACAAATTATTTAGAAAAGCAGGTGAAGAGCAAGACATCAAAGTTTGCCAGTGGCATAGCTCTCAAGAAAATTGCAAAATGCTTCAGAAGGTTCTCATAACACCAAATAACTGAGCAATAAAACAAATTATGAAATTCAGTGTAGATGAATGAAAACCCTCGTGTTTCCATACACAATAATGAGCTCTGAATGAGCTGTTCTGTTCAAAGAGATCAGCAAATTTAGTAGATCAGTCCACAAAAATATCAGCTCAATAGTAAAGAGCCCTGGAATATAAGAAATTATTAGGGAGATATAGAGAGCAAACCAAAAAACAACAAAATGCCACTGTAACTCCACGATGCAATGACATTTTAATGGTGTCAACCACAGACCAGTGGTTCTGGTCCATCCATCTGAAAAAGATTATGGTGGAACTGGAAAGCTATGGAGAAGGGCAAGAAAAATGGTCGAAAGTTTGGGATAGTTTCTGTTCAGAGGATGCCTACAACAGAATTTCCCAGTCTAGGAAAAGAAAGACTGAAGAGTAAGATCAAAAAAGTCTACAAAATCATTTTTTGCTTGGACATGGTGACTTGAGGACTGGTTACACTCACCTCAAAAAGTTAATAGAAAAATATAACGGACAACAACAAAAAAAAAGGGGGGTATTAAACATAAAGATACCATGTCTTTTTCAGAGCTATTGTAGCTGGAAAATGAAAAGTACCAGTGAAGTCTTGCATATGATCATTATGTCTCTGTACTCTTTTCTAGGCATCCACTATCGGTCTCCATTCTGATTTCCTTCCCCATCTTGGTCTCTGCTGGAGACACGATGATGGGCTGGATGGATCTTCAGACTAATCCAGCACTGACTACTTCTGCTTTTATGTCTTGCTTTTGAAAGCCGTGCCATCTCCCTTCCCATTTGCCAGAAGCTCTCTTCGGACTGCACCGTAACTGCTCTACGCCTCCACATCCACAAGAGGAGGACAAGTAGAGCTCTGCCAAATTCAGCCTCCCGCTGCCGACTGTGCCACTGGAAATCGGTCACAATTCGTCCACTCAAATCACACAACTGTAGGAAATTCAGAGTCACTTCCACGTTGTCCAAAACAGTTTGAACGCTGAATCTGCACATCCCTGATGACAAGTATCTGCAGATTAACTCATTTTCTAGTATTTCTGCACACCTCCACCCCAGCAGCTGACTGCTGGCTTGCCAGGAGGAAGCTGGACCTGATGGACTCTAGGGTGCCCAGCTTCCAGGTGGCCTCTCAGGCTAAATGGCTGGGACAGACCTCTGAAGATTTGTGTCCTCATACAAAAATGCCGGTGCTGTGGTGGGTTGTCCTCTAGCTGAAAAGTAACACCTTTGCACATGGATAGTTCTGTCCAGATACTCCAAGTCACCAGGTTAGGTTGATGTTGGCAACTGCCCGGTATTCTTTGCTTCCCAATCTGTTTTGTCCAGCACTCACTGCCACCTTCGCTCCTTGGACCCACAAATTTCTAAAAGGTCTTCCACTGACTCTTCCTGAATATTTGCTTGAAAGTAATCGTTTTAATCCGTAGCTTAAATCCATGGTTTTCATATTGCTGTGTACTTAACATAGCAAGCATGGTGCCTAACTGCAATGCCTTCTGCCACCCCGGGCTGCACACAGGGATGGCTGAGAGTAACTTTCACTCCTGGGGCCACAGCCAGCGTTCCCAGGACTCTAGTTTTTCTGTCACAAAGAAACTCTTAAGAGATCATAGGAGTTCAAGGAATACAATCTGTGCTACAGATCATGTGTCTGGATGAGGAGCAGTTCCAACAACCTGCAAGGTCCTTGGCTGTTGGAAGTCCCTTTGCTCCTGCTGTTGGCGCAACTTTCCTACATCAGCACACCAAGCGGCTTCTCCTGGCTCTCAGTGATCCTTTCAACTTTGCATTGATGTTGTTCCAAGAAAGACATCTCTTTCTCTTCCATAGATGGCTTGGCTTTGTCTTTCTGAATTGCACTGAGTGTTTTCCATTACTAGATCGCAAGGAAATAGCCCATTCACTTTTTTCCACCAAATCCTACTGGTCACATTCCTTCAAAACCTTGCAGTGAGGATTCTTCTCCAAATTTTCAGTATCTTATCGTTGTCTCTAAAGAAAACTCAGGCTAACAGAGCACTATGCTAGGGTAAAAGAGGTTCTGGAAGAAAGAAGGTGGTGTGTCGTAGAACATCAAACCTGGAATCCTCCCAGCGAAAGGAGAGGCTAGGTGAACTCGGCTTCATTCATTTCCTTGGAGATCGTTGGAAAATAGAGGAAAGACTTTTGTCAGCAGACAGACAGGATAGGTGAGTGATGTCTATTGGAAGAGTATCTGCAGCACCAGATACAAGACACAAGGCTGCTTCTATCTCCTTTCTGATTGCCATCCCTTCATATTGGGTCTGGTTGGGATGGAGTTAATTTTCCTCATAGCAGCCCATGCGGTGTTGTGTTTTGGATTTGTGAGGGAACAGTGTTGATAACACATCAGTGTTTTGGCTATTGCTGAACAGTGCTTGCATGACATCAAGGCTTTCTCTTTTCCTCACTCTGCATCTCTCCCAGCAAGTAGGCTGGGGATGGACAAGAAGTTGGGAATGGACATAACCAGGACAGTTGCCCCAAACTGATCAAAGGGATATTCCATACCATATGATGTCATGCTCAGCAAATAAAAGCTTAACGAAAGGAGGAGGATGCAGAGACGTTTATGGTTACAGTATTTGTCTTCCCAAGTAAACATTATGCACACCGAGACCCAGGAAATGGCCAAACATTGGCTAAACATCTGCCTGCTGATGGGACACTAATTAAATTCCTCATTTTACTTTGCCTGCATGCAGCTTTTGGTTAAACTGTCTTTATCTCTATTCAAAAGTCTTGCCTGCCTTCTATCTTCTCCCCATCCTGCAGGAGAGGGGAGTGAGCGAGCGGCTGGGTAGGTGCTTGGCAGTTTGCTAGGGTCAACCCATCACACCCACATACGCGCGGGGAATAGTCCCACTTTTCACACAAAACGATTGCCTCCTCACTACTGCTTATATTTGACAGGCAGGCTTGGCCAAACTTACGCTTCTTCCACACTTTCTGGAACAAGCACAGATGAGACTGCCAGCAGACATCTTCCTCACTGGTACCATTGGCTGCTCAAAAAAAATCATCTCCCATAAATTAGCCTCTTTGCTTTGCACATTTACCAATAAAGGACACGCAACATCTGTGCACGTCTGCTCCATAAGCAACTCAGCCTCACTATCAGGCTACAGGATGCAGGTCCAGCCGACACAGTCCTTTCCTCAGGTGCTCAGCTGTCTTGCATGTGCTCCTAGCTCTGCGATACTTGGGCTGCATGATAACACACATCATGAGGCCCAATTCATTCACACCATTCTCTCTGCTGTGCATCAGCCCTTCATTAGGCGTCTGTTTCCCTATGCTAAACTATGGGATTTCTGCCCCAGAACACTCACTCCATACACAGTGAACCCATGGATGCCCATGATATCACCCTTACTTGCTTGCTCTATCACAGGCACTTGCCTCTTATACAGTAATCTCAATCATTAAAGAGTTTAGTTCCATTATACACCTTCCTTCTTCACCCGCCATTGCATGTTTGGTGTATCTTCTTCTCCTAGGCTTGGTCTGTCTCAAGCTCTTCAGAGCAGGGACGATCTTTTTCTTCCCTTGTAAAAGGCTGTCCTGCCTCTCTAATCCACTTGAGTTTTTCATAGTGTCAAGATGCATATTAATAAGGAACATAGGGCTGATACAGTCTACTAGGCTCTCCAAAGATGTAACTCCAAAGCAACATCCTTCACCAAAACCCTGTACATACACTAGGCATCCATGTGATAGTAGAGAAAAACCTTGCAGATGAAAACCTGATTAAAATAAGAATAATAGCAAATAGTCTCCCATGGACAGAAATCAGCAATGAAGTTCTACAGGGATCACTGATGTTGAATATAACCATAAACGGACAAGAAAAAAACAATGACAAATTCCGTTGGCAAAACAGTTATCATGGCTGTAACAATAAAGACTGCAGAACTGCAGAAAGGCCTTACAAGATTCAATGACATGGACAACAGAGGGTAGTGACAGGCGTCCATACAACACATAACACATGACAGAATATGCTACGCTACAAAGACCTATAAAAATTATGATGGCAAAGACAGTTTGAGCGCGTATTCTCTCCTACAATGCAAAACTAAGATAGCATCAAATGAAAGTAGCAAGAGACATGTTCAAATATCAACTGAACAAATTAATGGGAAAGATACTTATCAAGAATTATTAAAGATACCACCACTGGATAAAGAAATATGCCTTTTTTGCTTCAACAAGTTATTATTCAACATAATTCTGTTTTAAAAAAATACACCTTCTCCCCCCAAATAACCCCACAACCAAACTTCAACACTGCACAGCTGGCAAAGGCCTTATAAAGGCTTACAACAGTAACGGTAAGAGACACGTATCTAGGTAACTGCCAGCAGGGGTTTCTACTGCTTCTGTCTTCACATCTGTAAGAGGTTTTGTATAAACATCTGCATTATTACTGCCTAAAGTCTAATTCCCAGATCACTTAAATAGCATTTATTAAATACTGACCATTGACCTTTTATGACAATTGACAATTCTCAGGAATTCCCAAAAGTTGTCATGCACTATAAAACATTAGGAAAACAAAAAAATATCTACAATTGGGGTTTGCAATTTACATTCAGTTTCTAAGAGATAGGCCATGGAATTCCAAAGTGGGAAAGTTTATTTGCTAGGACTAATACAGAAACCCCTCAATTCAAAATATAGAGAATACACTAATAAAAATGCCTATCTTCTGCATTCTTTGATACATATAATGTCCCAGAAGCAGAATTTGATGGTCCAAGTCTTTTATTTCTGGTATTTAACAAGAAACCTATACTTTTCTAAATGCACACATATTGTAAATCTCATTAAGATCTTCCATCTACCAGAAATATTCATGTTCATTTAAACAAGGAATTTCTTCTTGAAGTCACTGAAATGAAGATGAATATGGTCCAGATCACCAGCTTCAGTATTTCAGCTTTGCTGCATTTTTCTACGCATCTCTTCAAGCGCTGCTTCTCGTTCTCTTAAGAGCTGTTTAAGTCGTTCTATTTTTTCATCCCGTATTGTTTCATCCAAGTCTGGGGGAGTCAAAGGGAAAGCATCATCTCTGAAAGAACCTTCAAGAACTGAAGTATCGTCTTCACAGGACACTAAAACTGGAATACTTGAGTCTGTAACGTCACTATATTGAGAGCATGGATCTTGCTCAGAGTACCCCCCTAAAGACGATATAACAAAGTCTGTGGAAATACTTTGCTGGGATAAGACTGGTGGAGGTGAAACACTTCTGTTAAGTACACTGGAACTTGAGCTGGTATCTTGTGAACTTGGACTTGTGGTTGATTTGAGTGAAGTTTTCCTTCTCTTTCCACTGTCTGACAATGGTGAGGACCTTATTTTTCTTTTCTTAGTCAAATCCTCTTCCAGATCCACAATTATCTGTACAGTCAAGAAACATACAAAATATACTTCTGTTAAATTAAGCATCATTCTACATTATAACATCACAGTTCACTAAGCACAAATCACAAGTTATTTGTTGCAAGCTTCTTAGAATTACTATACAGACGATGTTTCTTTTAGCAATTTGAGCAAACATATTTCTGTGTTCAGTATTTTTCTAGCAAAGATTCCCAGTTAACAATTGCAGAGCATTGAATTCCTTCCTTAGTCAACAGTGCACTTCTGCCTTTCCTGTGCGTATCTATCATCTCCTGTTGCTGCTTAAATTCTTTAACTGCAGTGTAAGACAAAAACTTTCTATCTAATTTGACGGAAAAATTCAAAATGTAGAAGATTCTTCATGCTTCCATTTCCAAAAAGTTCAAACATTAGCAATAATGTCCATTACAAGACTGCATTCCTCCCAGCTGTTTTGTTATTTAAATGTTAATGTACTTTACTGAAAGCAGCCAGTAGATCTGCTCAAAGCAGGGCTCTTAACACAGAATTATTAAAACCTGAGAAAGCCTTTGACTGGGTAGAGTAGAATCATACAAAAGAAAATTTAGAACACTATGGTTGAACAGAACTACTTTGGATGGATAAAATAACTTTAATGCATTAAGATGGAAGTCCTTACATCAAGGGAACCTTTCCAGAAGCACCCAAGCAAGTTCCTAGCCAATGACAAAGGACTAAGTTTATAAAGACATTTGTAACTCTGAAGATTAGACAGGTACACAGGTAAATTTCTTTTAATAAAACCACACGTGACTAAGTGGATACCTTTCTTTGGAAGTCAGCCACACCTAGCCACGTGAGTGACTGAAGTGCCTTGAAATAATGGCACTTGACTGATTTCAAACTCAAGGGTAAAGCCTCACAAGAAATTCTTCTTCTATTATTCTGCTTATATCCATTGCACTACTGGATAAACATAATTGTTTGCAGAAGGCCAAATATAAGTCAGGATACAGAGGTATGGCTTCTATTCCAATAAAGACTATCCCTTTGACTGTTCAGCCACCACTAGACGGTCCAGTCTTCTTCAAAGCATTTGTTCTTCAAATTTCCTCCAGTGGAACCCAGAAAAGAGGATAAAAATTCTTAGATGGTACTCAAGTCGTACTGAAATTACACAACTCTGTTGCAGTACACGAACAAGTTCTAGAAACAATTCCCACAGGGACCAAAACAATTACTGACTTGCCCTGATGAATCCAGAGGTGGGAGGGTCCAAATAAACATGCAGCTCTGTATTGACTACACATATGCCGCTTTCTGAATGTGTTACAGTACACATTTTAGCACTGAAAAATTTCAAGATACCTTTTCCTCTTTAACACATTCCTGATGCTGATTTGTTATTTCCACATCTAACGATGATGAACTGCAAGAATCATTTTTCCTTTTCAAGCTGTTACTGGAACAAATCCTTTCTTCTGGTTTCTCACAGGAGGTCCTTAATGGTATTCTCTTAAGGTACACTCTCTCCTCCTTACAGAGACCAAAGCTTTTCCTTAATTCCAAGTATTGTTTCCAATGTGGCTTCTCTTGGTGTTTGATTTGAATAACCTTTCCCGGTGAATCCATCTTTTCACACTGGATCTGAAATATAGAAACAGTGAGAGAGCCATCAATCACACTCTCTCACTCTCTCTCTCTCTCCCCCCCCCCATACATGTAAACTAAAAACTAGTTACTAGAAAGACAGGTGAACATTTGTTTTGTCTGCCATTCTCCAAGACTTACATTTAACACAGGTAAGCCAATTCTGAGAAACTATATACATACTATCATAGGTCTAACACTCTTGTTAGTTATTTAAAACCCCAAGTACATTGTGGAACATCCAGAAAATGCACAGTCCAAGTAGTAAACCACAGAAGTAAAAGAAGCAACGAGGGTATCACCTGTTCTAAAACTTCGAAGTAACAAAGGAAGATGACGGAAGATCAGACAGTGTCTTTACAGTGTCACTTTCAGACTGTTGAATGCATTTCGTATTTGCATTGTGGCTGATAATACTAACAAAGCACTATTAGCCATCTCTCATATCTAACCTCACTGTAACCTGAGCTGTTTCTGTTTCTGATCTTAAAGTTCAATCTCACGTCAGTATTTCTGGCAATCCATGGGCTTGCAAATTCACGGACTAAAAGCAGCAAACATTTGATACGCTATTTTTCACAGACGTTAAAGCAAATGAGAATGCTAATACTTGGCATCGCACAGCACTGAAGGAAAAAACAAAAAGTCTATTTTAACCATTTTTCAGGTGAGGAACAATCAAAAAAGAGGCCCTACAGACTGTTGCAATGATTAAATGTCTAAAATTTGAACAAATGTGCTTAGCTGACATTTCTCTTCTGCCTGGTCAACACAAGCAAGCGTAAACTAGCTTCAGAATGATTTTTTTATCTGGAGGCAAATTCATTCTGGCCTCTTGAGCAACTGAAAACTTGGCCTACAATCCTTCATGGGTAGAGTTTGTGGGATTTGAGGCTAAGGACTTTTTACATATTTTCAACATTATGATCTTAAAAGAATATGTAGATCCAGCCTGAAGGGGGAAAGCCATTAAAGATCTCAAGAGTTTCTTCTGCCTGACATAAAACCACGAGTCAAAGGAGGTGGATCCCTCCCCATCATGGCATGAAAGGAAGGTAAAGCAGCTCCTGCCTTTGGCTGTCTGAGCTAGCGGAGACTGGAGCTGACTTAGTGCAACGCCAGAGTTTGTCTCTGGATGACAAACCCTGCTCTTCCACCTTGTTTTCCTCGTGTAGCAGCGAACTTTTCTACCTTACATCACACCTACAACACAGTCAATGGCTGTGCTATGAGAATGTAGCACCAACATTAGAAAGCAGACAGCTCCCAGAGCTCAAACAATTAAGAACTTTCCTATAGTTTCAATTGTTACTGACAATTTATCTTGCAAGGGAAAAGTCATCTTTTCCCTGCCCCTTCCTTTTCTTTATGCATTTTCTCACTTGCATAGTGCAATCTTACTGAAAAAAAAAAAAGATCATTTATTGAATAGAACCACACTTTAGACCAGCATTTCCAGTGACAGGATAGCTGGTTACAAAAATCTGTGAATTTATTAATAGCCATTTTATTCAAATAGAACCAGGACCATATAACAATTTAGCAGAGACTGAGATGGGCGCGTTTATTGAATAGAGTTACCTTTTGCCAGTCTTCACTGAAAGCACACTCTTGCTTAGACTGAGGTAAAACAGCACCTGCTGCTTTGGGGGAATGAATCTTTTCTTTGCCATTTTGGCATACATTTTCCTGTGTCTCTACTGCTGTAATAGGGGTCACTCCACTTGAAATGCTCTCGGTGAAGGGCAAACTCTTTCTCTGGTTTACAGTAGAATTCTGCTGATTAGCACTTGGTATCAACAGAGCTGCAGGTGCAGATTTTAAGTCATTTCTTAAGCCAGTTGGTGAAGAATTTTTTGAGTTTGTACATGTTTTTGGATCTTTCTGAGGCAGCACCATTCCTTTGCTTTTTGACAATACCAGATTCACTACTTTATTGGTTATTTTATTGACTGCAGTAGAATCAATTAGCTTGGATGTCTCCTTTTTAAGTGAAGCATCAGAAGAGGAAGATGCTTGTTTGTCAGCTTGGGCTGACAGAACATCAGAGCCTCTTTTAGTCAACAAATAGACTTTCCCATTGTACATGACCAGAGCATTATCTTTAATAGGTGTGATTTTTGTTTGGCTTCCACCAGGACCACTAGAACAGAGTGGTAAAATATTTGCAGAGTTTACTTCTACATTCTTCATGTCTGACAAAGTTTTCAAGATCTTGGAAGCCATATTATTTGATGACTTTACAGGAATAAGGCAAGGCGCTGATGACTGTGGACTTTCTTGCACAATCCATTTCATTGGAGTTTGCTGGCACTGCTGACCATCAGATGTTACTGTCTCAGGAGAAGAACTATTTCCCTTTTGTGTAGCTGTCATTATTAACGTTTTTGAAACTTCTGTGGCAGGTTTTGGGCAAATGGCTTGCAAACGCTTGGGAAGTACTGTTTTCACTGTGTTCACTGGTGACACGTAAATAACAGTTGGCATTTTTGTACTGTCAGCTCCTCCAGACACATTTGTTGCTGCAGCTGCAAGTATTTTTTGCTGTATTGCAGGTGGTAAAAAAGAAGCTGGAACAGATTTCACTTCTGCATCAGCTGGTATCTGGAGGTGGTGGCCAGAGGGCAGTACCGGAGACTTCACAGTAACTGGAAGACTTTTTGTGTTTACCAACATGTATGCAGTGTTACTCTGGTTAGATGAACTTGTTACAGCAATGTTCTGCAAAGACAGTCTATCAACTGAAACACAACTGCTCTGGGTGTTAGCAGCTGATTTTGGAATTAAGCTTTCTTTTTCAGAACCTGCCCTAACACTTTCCTGTTTGTCTAATGTCCTTGTAAGAATAATCTTTCCAGGATCAGGAGACTGAAAAACAGGTATCTTAACAGATGAAGGTGCAGTAGTATTGGCAAGCTGTGTCTTAAAAGTAAGATGGACTGGATTAGAAATATTTGCTTTAGAATTATTTGGCATGGCTGAAGACTGAACTATTGGCACAAAGCTTCCAGAAGATTTAGAAATTGGAAGTAATTTCAGAAGGTTTTTTCCATCTGGTCCCGTCGTCTGAACTACTCGGTACATACAGCCTGCAATGCTTAACAAAACAAAGAAAAGAGAACAAGAAAAAGAAAAACGAAAGGTAGCATAAGTGAACACAGCATAGATATTTTAATTAATGTGCATCAGTGAATTGTATACCCAGCAGTGCTATGCCTTCAAAGCAGATTAACTACTGAAAAATGCCAGATCTAATCTTTAGGAACTTCACTGGCAAAAATCATACTGATCTACTTAGCGTACATTTTGGGTTAGCATTTCAGAATACCACAGACTATCTGAAAATAACGTCCAACTATTACATCACAGAGTAGCAAGAAATGGCATCCTTTTCAGATAAAAATAAGTTAAAAGACCCAAGAAAACACCTTACATTATCCTTCTCTTCTACTTACAGGGCCTTTCATTCTGAAAAAGAAAAACATTATCTCCAGATTTCACAGAGAAGCCATATTTTTTGCTTTCCCATCTCCCTGTTACTATTAATATCCCTACTTAGTGCTATGAAGTATGAATTTCAGGAAAGCTTCGGGAAAATACAGACAGATGAGTTGCACGGCAAGATGGAAGCAGAAATTACTTCAGACACATACATGAAAAAAAAATTAAAGAATACATTTACTTTGTGGAATAGGATATAGGGTGACCAACTCATATGCCTACATCTCACCTGTCTGCTCATTTTTTAGGCAGATATAGACTACAAGGGTGGTCATCTTCAAAGAGATGAAGAAAAAAACCTCAAATGCTATCAAGGTACATACATTTATGGGAACAGAAGTCTAAGTCTAGGAAGGAAAAGGCTTCAAAACCAAGGAGGAATACACGGAAACAGCACCAGTGAAATCTGAAGAGCAAATACAGATTTTTTGCAGGTGAAGGTAGGAACTCAAAACAGCAAACAGACAGATAGAACCTTGTCAAACGAAAAGTTAGTTACGACTGCTTCAAATGCCAGGATTTTTCAAGTCCATTGCAAGCCAGAGAATCTTTCCCACTTCAAGTGAGTTTGCCCGAATGCAGGCATCTTCCCCAAAGAACTCTTGGACTCTCAGAAGAACAATCTAATGCCAAAAGCACTGCAGAAGCAACATGGCATGTGGAGACATATATGATCAAAACAGAGTTTCCCTCACTAGTAAAGAAGAGACCAAATGAACTGGAAGTAGGTTTCATGGTCTTGACATCAGATCCAGAATGATTAAAAGGCAAAGCTGCCAACTCCACTTTCAGTCACCAAGAGCATTCTAACTCTGTCCCATTGACTTTCTACATCAATAAATGCATTGAGAACATGGACATGAGATTAGTTCCCAGTTCCAGTCCAGATGACATCAGTATTGTGTTCTGTTTACTGTCAAGTAGTTTTGAAACACTGGCATTTTTCTGGCAGTGAAGCGTTACAGTTTGGGCTTCCAACTCAGCTTGGAACAGTGACTAGAAGATATTATTCATGTGTCCCACCGTTGTATCTGCTCAGGAAGTCAGTCAAGACATTGCCTTTTCCCATCAAGTGAGAAGTCACAAGGATGCTCTTCACTCCCAGAGTTGGATAGTTCCTGCTACAGTCTGAGGGGTAACGTTCCCCTTGGTGGTCGACATAAATAACCATGCTATTGTCTGTCTAAAACACAAAGGCTTTAGACATGCAGAGCTTTCCTCGCTGTAACCTTAGAATTAACTCCCACGTCCAATATTTTGGTACAATGCCTCATTTCTAGGCATACTGTGTGAAAAAACAGACGTTTATGTGATTTATCAGTGCAGTGGGTAGGAAATTCTGCAATACTTTTGTTTTAAAAATAACATACTGAAAATGAAAACATGGGCAATATACCACATGGTTCCTAGTGGAAGCTGCCATCAGAGGTTTTAGTAGTAAAATGGAGTTGGATGTTTTGGAATCAGAAATGATAGTTGAGAAGGACTAGCACTGAAGGGTAATGATCTTACAGAAGTATTTTTGCTTAAACAAAGAGCAACTAGAAATATTTGTATGTTTGAACTTAGTTAAAGCAGAAAAGACTCACTTTTGGAGCCACTTTAAACCTCCCAGCACTACTGATAATGTAGATTAGGAAGACCAGCACCGAGCTCCTGGACAGCTTTTTGCATCTGTATCTCTTATATGCTTTGAATCTCAAAACGCTTCTTTAATAACCTCGTGATCTACAGTCTCAACTTTTCTTTTCTTCTAAATATAAAAATTAATATTCTGAAGGCAAATTCAGAAGGAAATTTTCAGCAGGTTCCACAGACATGGAACTG